CTTTTAAAACATCAGTTGGCATGTGGATTTGTTTGCAGGTATACCAGAGAACAAAGCTAGGATTTATTCACTCTAATCCCCTTCCCTGCAAGTTCCCAGGTTTATTTCACTGGGTAGGAGAAAGTTATTTTTAAGCATTGCATAGCACAGCATTAAACAATTTCAAAAGTCCCCCTCATGGAGGATATGCATTTAGCAAAAGTAGAACACTATTTCTTTTTTGTGTTGTTTTTAAAACTTCAGAGAAGGTTGAAAATCAAGCTGTGTTAATTTTTTTCTTAACAACCAATACCAGGAGATGTGTTTCAGTGTTGAGCATGCAATGACTGGAGAAAAAAAAGTTCCTTGAACACAACACACTGTACATTTCCCTGTCAACCAGCACTATTTAGTATCTGATGACCCAGTTCATGCATTCAGGCTTTATCCCCCTTAAAGCAAGGAAACAACAGAATAGCGTGCTTTTAGTTTACAAAAATATGTGCTCCTGCAAGTGGGATTTTGCTGACAAGTTTGGATAAAACAAACTTAAACCTGAAGAGCTTTTCACTTTCAGCGTTAAGACAAAAAATTTTTGTTTTTAACATTAAGACATTAATGCTGAAGCAAGTTACCCTCACAGAGGAACTTCACCCACTGTAAAATCGGTCATTTGATGCAATCCGGCTACCTGCACATCATCTGTTTGTAGTATCTCTAAAGAAAACCTTAGAAATAGCAATACTCCAACAGATCTTGAACTCTGGGTTTTATTTTTCTTGAGCTGGCAGCGGATATATGGTTCTCGCTTCATTTTGTGACCTGATTAAATACGTAGCTTTGAAGTCCAAGCCAGGCTCTAGCCTAGTTGTCCTTTTAATCAAATTTCATTGATAAAATTGGGTGCTTGTATTTTGGCTACTTGTTTAATAGTGTTAGGATTGCAAAGATCACCACTAGGCTTTGAAGCTTTGTACTCATCATTTAAGTTTGGGGTTTGTTTTTAACTTAGTTAATAATGGAGTGGGGGGGTGTGCCTATCTACACTAGGGTGTCAGCGGTGAGTGTTGCTTACCATCCCCAATTAGACATAGTTTTAAATGGTAAAACAGTTGTGCTGCTTAGGTGAGCAAAACGGTTAATGTGGGTGTGGAAGTTAAAAGCTTTACATCTTTCAAAAACGAGAACAAGCCTAAAAACAAAAACCCCACCAAGCCCGCACCAGATTCTGTTCTTGCTTGTTGTTTCCTGTGTGCTGATTGAACTAATGGTTAGTCTGGATTTCTTCTGCAGCCTTGAACTTCTAGAGGATAAAAATACTGTCCAGTATCTTTGAACTGCCAGTGTTAACGTATCTGATGTTCTGTGCAGAGTAAAGGTGCTGTGTGAGGAAATCATTTTGCAGTGGTTTTTGTCTTGTAATGACATGATCTCATATCTGTTTGTGGCCAGACACTGAGGGATACCCAGGCCTGATGATGCGTCTGTGTGTCATAGAAACCTGTGCAGGAGTAGCATCCTCCTCTCCTGGTGTATGTTGTTGTAAGCTCCTCTTACAGTTTAAAACGAAGTGAGGATCTGCCCATCAATTTTGAAGTTACCCATGAAAAAGCTGGTCATGGTTTTGGTGGTAGAGCTGCAGTTGGCAGGTTATTACGGTACAGATGCTGCTGCTTTAGCTGAGGGAGTTAGCTTGATGCCTCCTAATTCTAGAGAATGGGACCTTAAAAATACATGCCCCCATAACCTGGCAGCTGCTGCATCCTGAGAAATGAAGACTTTAGACTTCCTGAGAAGGGCAGTCCCCTGATAATGGGATGCTCATTTGCAGCACTGGGTCACCAGTGGAGGCACAGTAGGAACTAAGGATGCAAGAACACACTGGGCTAAGCCATCTCACAGGCTTGGGAGCCTCAGCACCCTCTCGCTGGCTCCAGAAAGAGCTATTCTCTCTGGGACAGAACATGGTGTCTGTCTGCTGGGGAAAGGGCCACTTGTCTTTCAGGCCTGTTGATTTTTGTCCATGTCCCTTTGAGGCAGCATTTTGAAACATCTGTGCAGTTTGTGACAGGACCTTGATAGGCAAAACAGAAAGAAACTTCACCACGTAGCAAAGAAGGGAGGGTTCTGCTCTCCATTGCTGAAATTGTTTCCATGAGACAGATGAATTAGGTACCTGGTGCAGAGTGACATTGCAGTCTGAATGCTGTCAACAAAACTTCTGGTAGGATTAAAAGCAGAGAGTACAGTACCTTAATAAGGTGTATCTTATTTTCTCGTCCCTAGTTTTATCTGCCAATCTGTTTTGATCCCAGCTCCACGGAGACTGTTACAAACCTCTTGTACTAGTTTCACCATTTTGCAGTCACTATTGGTCTGTAGTCCAAGGAATGAGCGATGTGTTTTTCTAACCTCTGTTTTGAATGTTTGCATGTGATGCGGTTGAATTCCACTGCATTATGCAGCAGGAATTTATTGTGCCTGCAAACTTCTATACTTTGCTTGTTGATAACAGGAGTACCCCAAAACAAAATTCTACACTGAAGCAAAAAGAAAATCCCACAAAATGTTCTGCGCTGCTGGCTTCGGTGGGCAGCAGACACAGAAAAGGCATGTGGTATATGGGATGAAGTAGCTTCTGGAGGAGGGCGCTTCCTTGGCTCTGGAAACCGGCTGTTCCTGCGGTTTGTTGCAGGGTAGAGGAGATGTCTGCTCCCCGTGAATGCATGAAGCGCTGAGGGATGCTAACGTTGTGCCACTGCGTGGCTTGCGGGAACTACTTAAGACAGTGGCAAATCTTCTCAAAAAAGGCTCCTGCATCCCTGCAGTGAAGTCACAGCTCCTGCACGGTACGTGCACTACCTAGAATTTCCATATGGGACTGTTAACAGAAATTACCCAGAACAGATTTTTTCAAAAGGTGGGTAAAAGGAAGGGTCCAACCACAAAACAGATCAGTTTGAACATTGCTAACCATTCTCAGAAGCTGAAGGTCAGGAAATGTGTGAATTTATTTTTAGTGGGATTTCTCCCCTTTCCATGCTGCTTTGCCACAGAAAATCTAGCTCAGAAATCTAAAGAGAGATGCTTCTAATGCATGCTTCAGTCATTTTAAGCTATGCTGCAGCCCTGCTGGGGAAGACATGGGGAAGTGCAGATTCAGTTCTAGCCTCAGGTAGTGAGTGGCTTTGTGAACCTCCGCAGCTGTGACCGACGGTCAGAGGTGCGGCTGTGGGAGGGGGGGAGCACGCTCTCCTGGTCCGTCAGAGCGCGGCAGGCCACGTGCGCAGAGGTGGAGTGGCAGTGTTCCCACCTGTCCGAATGCATGGTAGATGTGAAACCTAGAGGATCAGGGGACAGCTTATGCGTGTGAAAACCTCTGAAGCAAGGTGAAAGAGCCCATGAACCAGTAGGAGACGTGAGAAAGAGATGCATTTCCCATTACACTAACACATGTGCCTGTGAGGTCGTATTATCTGACTGTCTTTTGATATATCTGTTTCTGTCTTACTGAACCTGTTGGTGGCAAGTTTTAGTGTTGGTGCCATTAATTACTAATGTAGATGATTAGATTCTCTGTATGACAAGGTAATTTTGACACTTTCTTTTTAACATCTGCAGAACTTGCTTCAGCTTTGGAAATTGAAATGGGGATTTTTCTGTGCCGCAGTCCCGTGAGCTTGTGCATCTTCATTCCTAATTGCTTTCTCTGCCAGCCCAGATGGCAATGTACCTGGGGGTTGAGTTTTTAGACCTTTTTTTTGTAAAACTTGTTTTCATAACTAGCCCTGTATGTTTCCTCTCTTGGTTGCCAATTACCTGGAGCTGGGATATCATTTATTTATTTCCTCCTTTACCCTCTCTCTCAAAGAAGATGATGGGCAGCTTCTCAGCCTACCTACATGGTGGACTTTGGGTAACATCTCTGTAACAACCGAGTTCGATCTATAAATGTGCTTGGCTAAATGTCTGATCTGCAATACTTGTAATAGTTTAAAATTCAATAAATACATTTTTAACAGTTGCTCTGTGAAAGCAGAGTGTTTGCACAACTTGCTATTTTGTCTTGGTCTTAGGACAAACCTGCTCCAGCCACAACTGTTGCAAACAGTTTTATTTTTATTTTCTCCAAACAATTTGTTTTTTCCCTCCCTCAGGCAATAAATAAAAAGTTAATTTCTGTTAATTTTAAAAAAAAAAAAAAAAAGAAAAAAAAAAAAACAAAACCGTACATATGTACATCAGCCACACAGGCATCTTGTGTGTTGGATTGGACTGGGGGAAGGAGAGAGGTAGGGTGGGAAGTAAGGCTCCAGGTGGGTTGAAGATGAGGCATTTTCTAGGCTTGGACCAGCAGCCACAGCAGTGTTGCACAGATAAGCGAGACCCAGCTCGGGTGGAGGAAGTTTGAAAATGCCGGATGGATGACAGCTCTAGGCCAGCCGCTCCTCCACCGGGCTGCTTCTCTCTTCCGTTCCAGCCCAACCATGTCCCATCCTGCTCCTTCTGGAAAAAGAGCAGCAGTGGGATGGGTGGAGAGGAAATGGAACAGGGGGTAATCAAAAGCAGCCCCAACTGCTGCCCCCACCCCTTCTTTCTCGTCTTTAAGCCACAGGAGACTGGACCCAAGTTTTGCAGGAACCAGAGATCCAAGAAGAGAGGCATTTAGGACTGCATCTCCCCCTCCAAACCGCCTCCCAGCCGCAGAGATTGCTCTCCCCCACAGGAATGGGCTCGGCTGGTGCCTGCCAGCTCCTGCATCGCCTCCCCAGGCACTGGCAGGGTGAGGGCAACTGCAGGCAGCCCCGTGCCACCGCTCCTGCTTGCCTCAAGGCCCTGCCTGCAGCTCTGCTTGTCACCCAGTGAAACTGGCTCAGGTAAGCAGCACCCACCACACGCACCCATGCCTCTTTGTGCGTGGGGAAGGCTGCTGCAAAATAAAAAGAGGGTATGCTCCCTTTTCAACCCAGATGAGCTAGGGACAGAAATACAGGGAGAAGGGGAGGTGTATCTCTTTTTTTAAAAAACAAGACAATAAAATAGGGATGGAAAGAGATGAAGACCAGGCACTTGAGGAAACCCAGTATACTATTTTTTTTCCTCCCCGAAAGAGCCTGGACAATGTCAGGGTTTGTGGCTTTTACAACTTCCATGCTCTCAAAACATAAAATTAAAAAGCAAAAAAATAAACCAAGATGAGGTAAGAAATTTCTCTACGAAAAAGATGTCAAGTCCAGGGTGAACGGCAGTGTCCGGCACTATTGCTTAACATCACGGGGCTCCGTGCCCGCCTGCCCCCTCCACGCCTGGCCCTATCTGCTTGGCTGGCCTCGGCCCCTGAGCTAACAGCTGGGCGACATGGTGATGGGGCTGTGCAGGTACGGGAGGCTGCTGGGGGTGGCATGGACACTGACGGAGACTGGGAAGCTGAAGACAAACTGGGAGGTGGGGGTGGAGGTGGCCTTGCCCCGCTCCCGCAGTGTCCCCGAGGGGCTGACAGCTTCCACTGCGCATGAGGTGGCCAACACCTGCGACTCAAACTGCAGCAGCTGCCCCATGAAGCTGAAGTTAGGGGAGATGATGCTCCGGCGCTGCTTGACAAACTCAAAGGCCTCCTCCAGCTTGACACGCTTCTTCATCATCAGGTAAGCCAAGCAGATGGTGGCGGAGCGGGAGATACCAGCCTGGCAGTGGACTAGGACCCGGCCACAACACTCCTTCACCGAATCTGGAGGGCAACAGGGGATGAGACACGAGACCAAAGCTCAGTCCCTCGCCAAAGCTGCAGGTGATGGCTGACCTCCCTCCCACCAGTGCAACAAATGGCCTGGACCCTGCTGGACCCCAGGCCTCTCTGAGCCAAAGGCTCCAGGTCTTTGAGGCAGGAACCTCGCCCCCGGTGAAACACACACGGACGCAGCTCCTCTGTGCAGGCACTCACCGATGTACTCGATTGCCTCCATGAACCAGGAGCTGATGTCAGCTTTGTGGTTATCCTCCACTGGGATACACTTGTACTGGTAGTGCCCCTCGAAGTGGTTGGGGCAGTCTGAGGAGACGTGCAGCAGGGCTGTGATGCCCAGCGCATCAAGCATGTCCCGCCGGGCGGCGTGGTAGGCGCTGCCAAGGTAGAGGAAGGGAAGGATTTCCACAGGGCCACCCTGTTACAGAGAAAAACAACAGATATGGGGGTGACCAGGGGAGAGCAGTGGATGCAACGCACATCCAGATGGCTTGGAGGCCCTGAGCAGTGCAGGAACCTGGCACCTGATCCAGGTCCCTCAAAAGAGGGAGCAGAGGCTGCCTTTCTGAGCTGTTAAACCTATTTCAGCCCTCCCCCTCTTCATCCCATTCAGGAATGGTCAGGTGTGGTTAATGGGATTTGGGCCTGTCCACTTCCCAGGGAGCACAAACTCCCTGGGATCAGGAGGACCACCATGCTCTCCCATGAGAGGAAAGGGAGCAGGGCTCTGGCTCTGCAGGCCTCAGCTGAAGGAGAGCAGAGACGCTCCGGCAGGACCAGCTCGCAGTGCTGGAAGGAGCGGTCAAAATAGCTGAGCACTGGGCTTCTGGGCATACCTGGTCATGAAGGGGGGTCCCACAGGAACTGCAGCCCAAATCCAGGGGCTCGGCGCTGGTTGGGGGTGACACATTGCTCAGGGACTTGGTTTTTGCACAGAATTCAGGGTACTCCGCGGAGAAGCGCTCATAACCCCCTGCAAGGAGAGAGGCGTGAAGCGTTATCCCAGGCTACGTTCACAGCACTGCAGAACAGCGTAGGCAGAGCTGACGCGTCTCACCGTGCCCTTCGCCACTAGATGATGCTACAGCGATGGAGAGTCGTCTCCTGCCCCAGGATGAGCAACCGGGCTCCTGGCAGCAAGGGGGGAATCCTTGAGGCCCCACCACTGTCTTAGAGCAAGAGCTCCGTAATGCTCTTGGCTGCCCCAAGTCTCTGGTCCAGGGTTTAGCCCCCTACACACCATCAGCCAAAACCCCAGACAGAGGCCAAGGTTGCTCTCTAAGGATGATGGAGAGACAACAAATCGTCTCTCGATTTGTTGCCAGCATGCTCTGACTTTAATGGGAAAAGCTGCTCCCAGGCCAAAGACTCTTCAGTTCCCAGCCTTCCCAGACACATCGTCCTGCCACAAAGCACAGAGGTCTCCCACTTTCCCAGCCTGACCCTCCAGCCCAGAGCTCCCAAAAAACAGGCCAAGGAAGCCCTAGCACTGGCCAGGTACAGTGAAGCTAACCCCACAGCAAAGCAGCTCTCCAGAGAGAGGGAGAGGTCCACTGCCTCTCAAGGACATGGGTGCAACCTGAACATGGCGGTGAGCGCCCTGTGACAGAGCAGCTTGCTCCTTTGCCCTGCTGTCAGGGGGATAAGCACAGGTGACCTCAGCTCTTCCTTACGGCAGGCGAAACAAGAACAAACCCCATCGACTCCCCAGCACAGGGAAACTGCAGTGTTGGCTGCAGTGTTCTGGTGAGATTTCCTTTTCTCATTCAAATCAAATCAACAACCCTGACCTCCTTGTTGAGTCTGACCTTGAGCCTTAAAACCTACAGAAATCAGGTATTTCACTTCCACCACAGGAATCTAGCTAGACCAAGCCCTGACTCCCAGGGTAGGTCCTGAACACTCACCCCAACTGCAGGACCCACGCCTGCATGTGCGGCCTTGCCAGAGCACACGCAGCAGGACACGTATTCCTTATCCAGCCTCAGCCCTGCGACTGCCTTGAACAAGGCTGGATGTTCAAAAGACGAGTGGATGCAAGCACCTCCAGCAAAGCAGGCCAGGAAGCCCTAGGCAGCTAGCGACCAATATTGCCAGCAGCCCGGTGTCCTTTATGGTTTCCTCCCCCTACGCAAGGAAGGGCTCTTAAAGCCGAAACATGCACACGCATTGCTGAATTTGCATTGTCCCTCCCACGTCAGCAGGACAGTTCGCAGAGGCTGCATTTTCAGGGCCTGACATCCCTTCGCAGTCCTACTGGTTCAATTTGGAGGAGCACCCAAAATCAAGTGCCCCTGTTAGACACCTTCAGGAGGTCTGATCCTAAAATCCCAGGATCTACCCCATCCCACTCCGATGGCCATCGCACCATCCCGAGAGGGAGAAGCTCCCCAGGGTGATGTGCGGAAATTGGCTTCCTCCTTGGAAAGGCAAAGTGGCCTTTTCAGTCAGAGCTGTTTCTCCTCAATGCATCTCATCAGATCTAACACCCGTTCAACCAAGCGCCACATCCAGCGGCTCCATGCGGCGGTGTGCAGATCCTGGCTGTGCGTGCGGGACCTGCCTGGTGCAGGAACCACACTGTGGGGGTGCCCATCACCAAGCAAAACCGAGACGGAAATGTTTCACGGGGAACCTGGCAGCAGTCTGATCTGCACAAAACAGATCCGGGTCTTCATTGTGACCTGTACCCAGCAAATTTGCATTTGGACAGGGACATTGCTGGGTTAGCACGGCTCTTGTGAAATCAGGGTGAGCTCAATGATTTTAGTAGCTCTGTGGTGAGGAAGAGGTCTCTAGTCCCGAGACTGAGTCTCTAGGAGCCCGTTCCTTGAAAAGAAAGATTGGAAACCCCAAACAACCTCCCTTGAGAGACACAGGGGCACCAGAAGCCCTCAGCTGACAAAGGCCACCCTTGCAGCGCAGCAGTGTTTCCTGCCACGTGCGTGGCTCCCAGCACCACGACGGCTCATGGCCAAGGACCCGAAAGCATGTTCCCGAGCGAGCCCTTGCTGTGCAGGCGCTCCCGCGGCAGCGCATCGTATCGCATCCTTGGAACAGCTCCTGCTGTTTTTACTGTTATCTAGTAAAACAGAAGCGCTAGCTCCTCCATCTATCAAGCCTCTTAATGGATTCGCTACTCTGCGTACACATCCCCACCCCTGCTGTAAGTAAACCAAGGACTAAATTAACTTCTCAGGCTGTAAACAAAAAAGAAAAAAAAACCCACAGAGCTCATCCAGCAGCCCCAGCTGAGCATCCCCCTCCCCTAAATCACCTCAGGGCAATTCTCAGGACCAGCAGCTCCAACTGCTCGCAGCATCTCACTCAACACGTGCCCAGACCGTGGCAGGGGACAGCCCCGATGGCTGCTGCAGTGGCAAAAGGAACACAGAGGCATCCTGGGGGGGGGGTTCTGCCCGCTGCAAAGGGACAGCGGCGTGACACCAGGTATTTGGTCCTGCGCGAACACCTGCTCTGCACGGTGGGGCCGGGGATGCACTCAAACAAAGA